GGTTCCACCAATATGTCTACCCTACGAGGCGGAAAATTGGGCACCTCGGATCAACTCGCCAATCCAGGTCTGTGTGTCTAAACGCTCGCAGCTTGCCGGCAAAACGGCCCAACATTCGCAGAAAATCTGGCAGTGTGAAAGGGGCTACTAAGTAGTCTTAAATTGGAATTTGTGAGGTCTTAATTGGTGCAAACATTTTATCATATTTCTGTCAGAATGGGTCGAGCTGTTCTGCGTGAAAGTCAAGATTTTTGATCTTACAAATATTTAAAAATAAAGTGAAATTCTCAGATTCACTCTCGTTTGGCGTTTCACCTTGCTATATTTCTCTCTTAGATGCCTGTTGCTTACAGTCTGGCACCTGCTCTCGACCTTTTTATATCGCCTCGACCTCACCTGAGCGCTCTGGGGGTTCACGCACATACATGTCCTGAACACAGAACGTAAAATCAGCCTTAACTATCTTTAAAATGTCTGAAAACACATTAAATTTACATTCCTGACGCATGATTTTCAACCAGCTCTGTATCGTTACAGCACGACACAGAGCTGGTTGAAAATCTCCTTAAAGGTAAATATTACAGCAATGACTTAAAGAAACAGAGTCAAATTAAATGCCTTAAATAATATAATTACAGCAACAATAATGAAAGTATTTAAAAACACATGAAAGGAGTATTTATTGTGTGTCCAGAAGAATAACCAGTACGGTAAAATCCACCCTGAGCTGCCTCACAGGACCTCAGAGATTTCAAAAAGTGAAGTGACGCACGCCACCAGTAACCTTAGGAAGCTTTTAGCTGCTGTCACCAAACCGACAACACACACACACACACACACACACCAGTATTGTCCATTCCCACCCCTCCATTCTTATGCTTTTTGCACCAGCAGATGTGTGAAGTCGCGCCCGGCCAAAAGCAAACAAACACACACTGATACCAGAGGTGATCCGACGCAGACTGAAGCGACTATAGAGATAAAACACTCGGCCAGAGCAGGAAGTATCTTCACGTAAAAGCTCATTTGATGCTCAAGTGTCACAAAGCACCACAAACAGCCGTCACTGTGTTAAAAATCAAACCTCCGCTTCCTTGTAGGCTGCGAGAACAGGAGGTCAAAGTGGATCCATTTTGTTTTCTTTGTGCACTGAACCAGCTGAGGCTCAGATCTACCTGCGGATCAGAATCCATTCAGAAAATGACTTTAAAGATAAAAGCCTGATGGTGGAGGTGTTTAAACGACACATCTCAGCAGCCAGAGAGCTACACGCACACGGAGGCTTCCTCTCCCGAGTGCTGAATGCTGTCTGCTTGCTGACTTTACATCTTTAATGACTCGCCCCGAATCATTTATGAGAGTTTTTCTTCTCCCGCAGTCTTCAGCCAGTTAACTTTGCCCGCTTGTGACGTGATCAATCATCCAAGCAAGATGTTGTGTGTCCCACTTTAGCTTCCTCGGGGCCGCTGCGCCACACAGCCTGCCGCCGCCGGCGAGGCCCGCTGGGAGAGCTCAGACCTAACGGAGGCCGACGAGGCAGCAGCCGAGAGCAAAGATGTTGTTGTTGTGTCGGTCATTGAGATAATTCATTCCAGCCGCTCCGAGGAAAACCACAAGGAGGACGAGTTTCCTTTGTATTGATGACGGTGCTGCAGCCAAACTGTGCTCAACGCCACGGACGCCAAGACAGGTCCAGCAAAGTAGATTATGAGCTAAAGGCATCACTTCCTGTTCTGTTTGCAGTGTGAAGTGTTTTTAAAGGAGCATTTATTCCCCTTTTCCACCAAAATTAAACACAGGTAAACCCACTAAAAAAGTTGCGTACACGGCTTAGAAACAGGTTAGTAAACGGTGAAAATGTGCTGACTTCTTGTATATATGTCTTTCTTATTCAGTCTCTCTTTCAAACTCAGTGCAGACTAATTTGGATCGATGTTGGAGCGCTGCTTGGTTGGAGAAGGGATAGTGCACCCAAAAATGAAAATTCAGCCATTATCTACTCACCCATATGCCGAGGGAGGCTCAGGTGAAGTTTTAGAGTCCTCACATCACTTGCGGAGATCCGAGGGAGAAGTGGCTAGCAGCACAACTGCACACCTAATGGAGGCTGACGGCGCCCCAGATTCAGACGTCCAAGAACACAGTGTCCTGCGCGGTGCCCAGAGAGGCAGTCAGAGCTACAGGCTACAGTGTGGCTAACAACAGAGTTCAAATGACGTTTTTCCAAACAACTTTTTATGTCGGGGCTTCAGGACACTTGGATCACTACGGACGAGCAGTATGGAGATATTTTGTGGTTTCAGTTGTGTGTTCTTGAACATTTTAGGGGGTGATCACACAGAAATGAGACCCGGACACTTCAAAGACACTTGAAACGCTGGAAGCACTTATTCAATGCGCGCTAGCTACTGGCGTCTGACACTCAAAAAGTTGAAAATATTTTAACTTTTCAGCATCTACGCGCGTCTAAAACGCGCATCTAAAAAGACGCTTGAATGGCGGTCAGATGCGCCGTATCATAGGAAAACAATGGTTTTACTGGCGCCGCATTTCTAGCGTTTCATCTCGGTGTGATCGCTCCCTTAATCTGGGGCACCGTCAGCCTCCATTAAAGGGAAATTTCGGTTTATTTCAACCTGTCTCCTATCGTTCTAAATTTGTTTCAAGTGACTAGTGACATAAAAATAATAGTTAGCATGTTAGCCGTTAGCCTGGATACAGCCGGGGCGCATAGTAGCGTCAGACCTGTTAAAACGTAAGTGAACGGGCAACCTTCAAGTGCAAAGTTAGTCCACTAAACAAGCTTTTTTTCCACAAAGACCGCCTCATATCGTTAGGATAAATGTCAGAGAACATATAGAAAAC